TGGATTTGTAATTTACCTGTTTATATAAGCCTGTTAATTAGTGGGCTTTTAACCTGGATCATTGACCATCTGATAATACAAATAAGATGGTCAGTGATATTTCAGTGGACACTCTCCATGCCCAAAAACAGACAGTGAAGTGAGCAGGAAAAAATTACATGACGTGAAGACAGAGAAAAAGAGGAGGAAGAAGGAGAGAAAAGTAGAAATGTATTTCCACATACCACATTGATGCCTCCAGAGTTTTCCAGGCTGCACATCCCCTCCAGTGGTGCCATGCCGATAGTTGTCCCCTTGAATGTCACACCCCTTTCACACAGAGAAAAAACACGAGAAACAGAGTGAATTATGACTTAACCTCAACCTTCTTCCTGTTCACTTCGGGGTCCACAGTGGATGCACTGAATGCAGTTGGTCTCTTGGCATGCTAAAACAGAATCAAGCTGTGATTGAATAATGAAAACAAAACAGATCCTAATGTATCAGCACATCTAATCACCGAGTCTACATTTTTCTAAGCTCCTGCTACTATTTTGAGTTTTTTGCTCTATTGGAAGCAAAATCTTTTGTTTGTTTTATAAGCATTTGTTAGTTTATATATTAACCAACTGCCAGAGGCTCATCATACAATGGTGAGTGCAGAGACACATGGCACTATGCTAATTATCAGCCCAGGTCTAAACATCACAGAGGTTGAGCGCAACTGATTTAATACAATTCTCCTGAGCTTGACATTCAGTGAATCAATTACAGATCAATCCTGTTACATCGGATGCTTTCACAGTATAATGCATGGATGGGTAATTCATTTTCCCAAGTAACCACATGGGAAAGTGGGAGTGTTACACCAAGGTTACACCAATGTTATGATGAGGCAACGAAAATTTTTAAAATGTGTCTCAACTGTTCCGATACTCCTGACACGTACGGGACCACTAAGGGTTTTTGCTTAGGCAGCAATTGTCCTTCTCTCCTGGATCACCTGGTGCTTTCTCTGGTGCCAAGCAACGGGGCTGTGACAGCCGGAATAGCTCTTTGGGTCCGGCAGCAGGTACCTACCAGGTGTAGACCGGGAAGGAAAGAGGCGATGAGCCAATCCATAAGCAGACGAAGATGTCCACTTCCCAGCTTACCACTGCGTTTCCCCCGTGAATGGTGATCCAATATTATTGATTTTACAATTTGAGTAACAAGTGCCAGAAACAGCACAAACACAAACACAAACGGCAGTGACAGACGGCAGGCCACTTTAGAGTCGCTGTGAAAATGCTTAACAACAAAAATGTAATAATTAAATGTGTTACATTCAGACATGCTGCTGAACCTGCACCTGCTCAACTTCCCTGATTTATTAGACTGAACATGGTCAGAGATGCCATCACCTCTCCATCATGATTAAAGTTTTGCTTGCGTTTTCTAATCTGGTCTAAAGACCGACCTTTTCGGTTTGGCTTTTAAACCCAGTCTAGAATGTTAATTTTGATATTGATGTTCTATAATTTTACTGTTTTTTTTTTACTATGTATTTTATTTATAGTAATTATATTTTATTAATCTTTTGGCTCTCTTCCACAGCATTTCTTTTATCCTGGCTTACTTCTCTTGAACCTTGAGGCTGCTGTTGTTGTGTATAAATAAAATTGAATTGAACTGAATTATGTTCAGCACTTTGGTCAGTACTCCCTGTTTTTAAAGTGCTTTATAAATAAAGTTGGCTTGGCTCAATTGCTCAATACTGGCATGTTGAATATAAATAAAATACATAAAAAATAAATATGTTGAATTAAAAATGAAGAATAACAGTGATTTTAATCACAGGCCTCACTGAGAGAGCCTCTACAGAGTCTGAGTCCTGGATGTTGTTTTTCTCCTCTTGTTTTTTTGTTTTGTCGTCTTGTGATAGGAGCAGTAAATTCTAAGAATACTAAAAATATAATTTGCAGGTGATTGAAATAAGAGATATTACTTCCTGCCATTGCAGTATTGTATCACAACACTGTAAAGCCTTGCTGGAAATACTCCACTTAGTCTGCTGACACTGTGACCCAGTTTCAGATAAACAAAAGATAAATGCTGGAGCCTAATCAGTTTCACAGCCACCCCAATTCTTGACTTATTTGACAAAAGAAAGTCACACATTCTTTCATAGACCTTTAACAAATAATATTTTTTTTAAACTTCTTGTCAATGAAAAAAAGGTCACATTTTCTGTCATGCAAGTCCATGTAAAGTCACTAAGAATATGAAAAAGTGAACAAATGTATATTATGTAAACCACTTGAATGGATTCATAAAATAAATTTAGCATTTATTCCACAGACAGCAATGAAGCCATACTGAATTTGTATACTAAAGTCATGAAAATGTGTTTTCACGGGACCTTATGCAGAGGCATATATGTGAGAAACTGAGTACACAGGAATTTAAAGGATAAGTAACAGCCAGGTGCTGCTAATCATTTCATTAATTCTTTTTGAGAAAATGTAGTCACCTCGATAGAAGCTGAATTTTTGGCATTCAGTGGTATGTTAACAAAATGTTACAATCTTCCTGAGTGCCTGTAAAAAATTTCTTCACAATGATGTGAGAGTCATTCAGAAAGTGATTACTGCAAGTTACTACTTGCTACTGGTTTTACACACTGTTAAATCACTGGGTATACTTGACACATTATTTTTCCCTTGACTGTATAGTATAACTATTTTTTTAATGAAAAACCACAGTCGGCATATCCACTCTGTTTCCAACTGATCACTGAAAAGGTAGCTGTGAACTGACAAGAAAAATATTATTTTGATTCCAACAGGTATGAAAATGATTTAAAGTTCCTGCTTGAAATACAAAAATGCTTCAGACAGAGGTGAAAGACCCGATGTAAACAACATGATTTTGTTTTCTACATGTCTGGTGTTGGCTCAGTGCTGTGGTATGTTTCTTACGTAAGCAACTGGGCATTGTCATGCTTCTTGCGTGATTTTAGTTTCTGTCTCCATTGGAGGAAGGACCAAAGGGTTGCATTTGGCTCCTCGGTGATGATGCACTGATCTCTTTCAGTCCAAACCTCCAGACCAATGAGAGGCACACGGATGTTCAGAGCCCTGTAGAACTGAACATAGACACAACAGATATTATTTTTCTACATTCAAACTGTTTGTTCTCTGGAGAACAGGAGTGAACAGCAGAAGCCCTCATCCTTACCTTATCCACATAATTAGCAATTTCCATTATCCTCCGCCTTAGTCTTTTCATAATCTTGATTCTGCCGTTGAAACTGCACGATTACATAAATGAATGTTAGCCATGAGGGGAAAATGTAAAACATTTTAGAAACAATTAATCCCGACTGATACCAATTAGAGTGGGAGAGGACTTCAGTCTTCTTATTGGTAAATATATTTTATAATACTTTGCCCAACTTAGAATCTCTGAACATTGTATACACTGCTGGATCTTAGTAAAAGCTAAAACAACAAGCATCATGCTGATGGTGGTTTACAACTAAAATGTGTTTTTCCCTTTAATAAACATCAAGAAGAATACTGGCGACAATACTGTCAGTATTTTTTAATGAATTGTGTTCCAGTCGCCTTAAATGTGGCAGGAGCCCAAAGTGTACTTCGATTGAGACATAGTATTTAATTACTGCAGAACAACCATTTGAAAGTCCGTCCACCTGGCAATTCAACCCAAATCTATCCCCACATTAAGCAGACAAATACTAACTCCACTTACTTTTGCCTCAGTACAACTACTAGATAAGCTTAGAATTGTCCATATAAAAGAGCCATATTATCTTGAATTACATAATTGTTTAGTATGTAACAGTGTCCATCCTGCTGTGTGAGTTTGATCTCAGCAGACAAATGTAGTAGTTTGACTGTGCACAGGAATAATCGGCTTGGGCATGAATAAGGCAGGTGATGAGTCATCTTACCAATGTATTATCCGCCACAATGTACAGTTCGATGTACTTAGTCGTACCCAAGGTATTCCTTTTAACCTGCCATTAAAGAGAAGAAGGAAGGAGCAACATGTTTATAAATACAGTACCATAAACTGATGGGCTACAACACTCAAACAAAGATAGGAGATAGGGAATACCTAAAATGTTAAGAGACACATACTTGTCAGTCCATTAGAGTGGACGAATGTGCAGAAAAGGTGTAAAGAGGCTGTTACAGGCTTGACATAAAATATTATACATATTTAGACAGTGAACTATGGGAAAAACACTGGATGAAGATATAACTGCTCAGCACTAAAAGAGATCATTTAAAGCAGTAAACAAAAACAAAATATTGAATCAATCAATTGTATTTATATGATTATATTATATTATATTATATTATATTATATTATATTATATTATATGAAATAGCAACAACAGTCAACAGTTAACCCCCTATGATCAAGCAGTTGAAGGCTGCCAACTGCCCTGTTGGGGCTGACAGGAGGATGACAAAACTAAACATAACATACACTGTGGAAGAGACCCAGAGCCCCGGCCTTATTGGGCAGTGGGGGTGTGAGGCAGGGGTGTGGTCTCTGCATTCCACATTTCTCGTATTAGTGACTCGTCTCCGAGTTCCATTTAAAGTTTTCCACAGCAAATAAAAGCTGCCTCTCTGCCTCTCTCAGTTGAACCGTTTCATTGGAGCCCTGTATTTAAGTCCTACCTCTGACTGCTACACAGCACCTCCATGGTAGCTTTAGAAATGTACAAAAAGACAACATGGTTTGATAAGAACAAAATATGATTGAATCTAAGCAAAACTAAAATCATGTTATTTGGGAATTTTCAAATTAACTCATAAGCACAGATTCACAAAGATGGTGTGGAAATAGAAAAAGATCATGAACATAAGTTTCTTGGTTTCTGGTTCATTTTTACACTGAACAAATTATGTATTAAGCAATATACAACCTTCCTGACAATATTATAAATCTGTTTTCTAAAAGGAATGTGGGATACAATTTGAGGGAAGAATCACATTTAAAATATTCCTGTTTTCCTTGTGCTTTGTTTGATTGTGTTTTTTCTTTTCTTTGTTGTTGCATCACAAACAAACAAACAAACTTGACTTGCCTGCAGTGAGTCCTGGCCTTAGTCCAATGAAACATCTTTGAAATAAATTAGGTCTTATTGTCTAACATCAGTGTCACACCCCTAAACCTCGTAAAAAGCTTTCCTAGAAGAACTGAATCTGTTATAGCTGCAAAGGGATGGCCAACGTTTTATTAGACCCTATGGATTAAGAATGAGATGTCACTCAAGTCATTCGTGTGTGAAGGCAGATAAGTAAATACTTTTAGCAAGAGAACATAGACGCCAGTGGTACCTTTAGAGAAAGTGCTTTGACACAGACATGAAAGCTACAAAATAGATTGAATGGTGGTGGAGTGGTTTAGACATTCGCTCACAGAGAGAAGGTTTCTGGTTTAAATCCTGTTTGGCTACACATATTCTGGTTGTGCTTTCTCCCTTTTGGGGGAGTAATTCATTATTTTTCTCTGTTCCAGATCTGTCTACATAAACCTAATTTAATTTTTGACTTAATCAACCCAATTTGGTTTAGAAAAGGTGTACCACTGATTTCTGGAAGACTCACCCTTGAATGAAATGATGAGAGCAGATTAGAGATAAGGTTGGGCTGTGTGGTGTGATGCGTGTGGTAGCAGCTTCCACCCTTAATTGGCAGCTTCATGGTACTCAACAGTGAGTGGTAGACTGGATCTACACTGCTGATTGGCTCCAGGTAGTAGGTGTCACTAGAATTCAGTGATATCAGCCCTCTGCGTAAAAGGGGAAAAAAGTGTTGCAGTTTGAATTGAAGCACAAAGATAGACAAAAAATACAGACTTGTTTTGCCTCCCATAGCAGTCTGACTGCTGAAGACCTGTGTGAGTTACAAAATGTGATCCCCAGATAACACAACCGGCAAATGCAAAGCAGGGGCAGGATTCACATTAACATGTACATCCCTGTATTAACCAATGTCATATAGGCCCAGTTTATTTTTTCGTGTCACTGTTGTGATGAGACCTTAAATAGCATTTGCATTTTCTGTTGTATACTTCCTTTGGTGTTCTTGTTATGTATAAAAACGTGTTTTTTGAAAATAGCTGATCTGCACTTTGCCAACATGTGTCAAAAAATATAGTTCAATAAAGTTGCTCTATATAGTGTCTAACTGTTGATATGCAGCGTTATTAAATTTATTGTTTATGCAACGGTTGATATAGCACATTTACTTTTGAGAATATTTTAGATGGCACTCATCATCAGAAAGGTTGCCGACCCCTGTTGTACCCAAAAGGATTTTATTTGCCATATCTTCACAACAGCTGCTCATATCACAGCCACGGGAATAAGGATTAATAAACTAGTACGGCGTGAAGCAGAACAAATTAGGATAAAGTATCTGTGGCTCTCTTCAGACCTCCCTCCAATCTTGCCATTTAGGAAAAGAAGGATATCACATCCCAGACTAAAGACTAAAGCATCACCATACTACCAGCAAACAAAAGGAGATGCATCATCGTTCTTAAGGCTAAGCTAATTTGACCTGCTACTAGCCTACTCAGTTAACTTGTGCTTGTAGCCAGGTAATGCATGCAAGAAGTGAAGCAGTTACATGTGAGTGAAACTTCCAGCCAACTCAGACATTAAAATACAGACATTTATCACTACATCCAATCCAAAAGATTGATATAAGTTTCAAAATGATTAAAACTAAGCTTATTATTAATCTTAGAAATATGATATCTAACCAGATTCTTACTCTTGATGGCATTACCTTGGCCTCCAGTAACACTGTGAGGAACCTTGGAGTCATTTTTGACCAGGACATGTCCTTCAACGCACATATTAAACAAATATGCAGGACTACTTTCTTTCACTTGTGCAACATCTCTAAAATTAGAAATATCCTGTCTCAGAGTGACGCTAAAAACTAGTTCATGCATTTATTAAGTCTATGTTGGACTACTGTAATTCATTATTATCAGGATTTCCTAAAAACTCCCTGAAAAGCCTTCAGTTGATGCAAAATGTTGCAGCAGGAGTGATGACAGGGACTAGAAAAAGCAGATTTTTCCTATATTGGCTTCTCTTCATTGGCTCCCTGTTAAATCCAGAACTGAATTCAAAATCCTGCTCCTCACATACAAGGTCCTGAATAATCAGTCCCCATCTTATCTTAACCCTTTAAACCCCAACCCCTTTTTAGCAAGGGTGTCCAACTCCAGGCCTCGAGGGCCGGTGTCCTGCAGGTTTGGGTTTAAAGGGCTAATGACCTTATAGCAGCAGTCCCCAACCTTTTTTGTGCCACGGACAGATTTAACATCAGACAATATTTTCACGGACCGCCCTTTAAGGTGTCACGGATAATTACAACAAAATAAAATGATACGACCAAGACAAAAACTGTGGTATTTTGTAAATATAATAATAACCGCGAAATCACTGTGTAATTGTGTAACTCCATTAGCAGCGTCCTCCTGAAATGCGGCAACAACATTGAGAGTAACATCCTCTTCTTGCCCTTTAATGCTCTCTGGTTGCTATGGTAACATGCAAATATTTCTTTCAAAATAAGACACACAACTACAACATGGGAAAGACCCAGGGAAACCAAGTTAACGATAAAAACCCTGAAAACCATATATTTCACACTCGAGCCTCAACTTTTGCGGCCCGGTACCAAACGACTCATGGACCGGTATCGGTCCTTGGCCCGGGGGTTGGGAACAGCTGCCTTATAGTACCAAATCACCCCATTAAGGCACTTTGGTCTCACACTGCAGGGTTACTTGTTGTTTCTAGAGTATTTAAAAGTAGAATGGGAGGGAGAGTCTCCAGTTTTCAGGCCCCTCTTCTGTGGAATCAGCTTCCACATTGGATTCAGGAGACAGACACTATCTCTACTTTTAAGATTAGGCTTCAAACTTTCCTTTTTGCTAAAGTGTATAATTAGGGCTGGATCAGGTGACCCTGAATCCTCCCTTAGTTATGCTCTGGCTCTTTTCCACAGCATGTCTTTATCCTGTCTTCCTTCTCTCACCCCAACGGGTCATCGCAGAAGGCCGTTTTTCTCTGTATGAGTTATTGTAGGGTCTACCTTACAATATAAAGTACCTTAAAGCAACTGTTGTTGTGATTTGGTGCTGTATAAATAAAATAATTTGAAAAATAAAATTATTAGACAATCATTCACTGGACCTAGAAGAAGCATTCTGTGCAAAAGTAAAAATCTGTAATCTGCCCTTCCTCATCTCCAGTATTAAGCAGCATAACTACTTTAAAAGCCTCAACATAAACACTTCTCTGACAGCCTGGTGGGAATTCCTAAAAACAACTAAGTCTTCGCTTATTCCATGTAAACTAACACCCTTTTGGAACAATCCAGTTATTTATCAGAAAAAGGGTATACTAAGTTTTTTATCATGGTATGACAAAGGGATTAAAAAAATCTAGAACGTGTTATACAAGATGGAAAATTCATTTCATTTGAAGAACTATCAAAACATAGACTGAGCAAATGTGACATTCTTGAATATCATCAACTGAAATCCATCATAGAAGAAACATTCAATCCTGGTCAACTGAATCAAGAAATACCTACTTGGGTAACAAAATGTTTTAATACCTACCCAAACGGTGATCAAAAATGCTATAAGCTATTGTTTGAAAATGACTAAATGCCCCAACTTACAACTTACACAATAATCTCTACAGAACACACTACACGGGACAAAGGTTGTTCCCAATGGGTCTTACACAATCGAACATATGCACCTATTGCAAAGACAACTCTGTTGAGAGCTATGTGCATACTATATGGTTCTGCATGCCTGTCCAACAGTTGTTGCAGAAGATATGTGAAGACCTAACCACATGGTTTAGTTGCTATATCTCAACCTCACTGTGCAACATAACATAGTTAACATAAGTGAACTAGATATGGAAGCAAATACATCATGTACTCCTTACTTCCTTATGCATCACCAAGAAAAGCCTGATGCTTATGTGTTCAATATAAAGATTTAGTTCTTGACCACATTGGTCTGGAGAAAATGTCTGCCTCCTCAAAACACCAACTGGATGAATTTGTCTCTCTCTGGTTCCCACTTATCAATTCCATTACTTAGTGGGGGTGATCTGCTGTAGTCTCGTTTCCCTATTTGAATTGGAGGTGGATGGTGGTGGTCTCCTGGGCTGCAGGTGACTGGCGGTCTTCCTGAGGGCTGGAGAGCTGCGGTTGCTGTTTGGCCTGTGCATCTACCTCAGTTGGTGGTGGTGGAGGACTGGGGTGGGTGCTGCTTGACGGTCTTGAGATGTGGCCCTGGGGTGCTAGTGGTGGTCTTTGGTACTCTTGGAAACTGCGGATAGCGTGGTTGTACTGGTTTTATCTCTGTCTGCCCCAGGTTTCTGCAGGGCATTGCTGCAGCTTCTCACCCTCATTATCAAGTACATTTGTCACAAAGACACAGGCATTCTCACACTCACTCCCTCTCTCCCTCTCACACACACACACACACACACACACACACACACACACAC